GGGGGGGGCGACCTAACTATGTTTTTGTTAAGTGCCATCTAATCATAGATGATGCATAGCGACCCTATGAACGAAATTCCTCAACACTTGTGTGACTTTCATTCTTTCTCCAGGTTCATAGGATTTCCAGAGGCAAGCTATTATGGAAGTGGATGCCACTCCTGCTTCCAAGCTTGTTTTAATCGCAGAGCTCCACCAAAAACTGTCTAACATAGGTAGCCATTATCGCATTTGACAGATCAGTGTCACAGTGTTCAGCTTCACAGAAACCACAAGTTACTTCTGTACGGGAAGAGGACACACCAGGGCTATACAACCTAGAAGAATATTTGTCCAAACATAATTAAAAAACAAGCTTGGAACCTAACTATAGACAATAAAAAACTTTATAAGGAAAACTGCAGATACTGTAACTATAAAAAGAGATCTAGCTAAATGGGGAAAAAAAAATTCCCTATTTATGGATAGGAAGACTCAACATGGTGAAAAGAACAATTAGCAAAATCAATCTGCATATTTAATACAATCCCAATACAGATACCAAATTCATTTTTCAGAGACAGAAAATGAAACTCACAGATTTATTTGGAAAAGGGGGGGGAAGAGACCTGAATAAACAAAGCTCTTCTGAAAAATAAAAATGAAGGGAGAGTCATAGCATTCTCTGATCTCTAAACCCTAGCAATCAAAATAGCATGGTATTGGTACAATGATACATAAACCTGTGAAAAAGAATTGAGAAATTAACTCACGTACCTACACCCAGTTGGTATTTGACAAGGAAAAAAAAACTTATGAAAAGGGGAAATGACAACTTCTTCCAACAAATGGTGTTGGCAAAACTGAACTGCTGCCTGCAGAAAGAAAGCTGAAGCAGGATCTATATATCTCACACATACACTCAAATAACTCAAAGTGGATCAGACACTTGAGGATAGAGCTCAAAACCATAAAAATCACGAGAGACAAAATGGGATCAAGCTTACAAGCACTAGCCTACAGTATGATTAGTCTTGGAAATATAGCCAGAAATGCACAAACAGAAGAGGATAAAATCGACTAATGGGGCTTTGTAAAAATAAGTCCCTCTGTACATCAAAACTTTTCCCAATAGGATGAAAAGAAAACCTACAGACTAGGGAAAAGCATTTGGCAATGATATCTTAGACAAGGGGAATCATAACAAAAGTTTACAGACTATTACAGGGCCTCCAAGAGAAAGACTGTTAACTGAATCACAAAATGGGCAAAAAGCCAGACTCTTCACAAAGGATGGCCAACAGACACATAAAGAAAAGCTCAGAATCACTGGCAAGCAGAAATACAAATCAAAATGAGAATGTCTCACCCCAGTGGTAGTAGCAGAGTTTAACAGGACAGTGTGCAATAAATATTGGGGAGGATGTGGAGAGATTGGGACTCTTATGAACTGCTGGTGGGATTATAGAATGGGGCAGCCACTTTGGAAGGCAATTTGGTGTTTCAAAAAAATTCTGAACACAAAAAGCCCCTATGACTATTCACAGCTATTTCACTGTTAGGAATATATCCCAAGGAAAACAGAACTGAGACACAAATGGAGATTTGTATACCTACATTCATTGTGGGGTAGAAGAGTGCTGAGTATCCCATGGATTGCCAAAAAGTGCAGCCAGAGTGCTCCTTGGAGGCAATGAAGAAGTTCTCTCTCACATACATTGGGCATATATCCTAAGAGTTCATTTTTGGAGACAGACATCATGCTTGGGAAGGGGGAAGGGTGGAGAAGGAGAGGAAGGCCCTCAAGCAGATGAATTGACAGTTACTGTAGGAATGGGCTGGACAGTGTCAGAGATTGAGGGACAGGACAGGACAGGGTTCAGATCTGCTGTTCATTGGGTGGATGAGTTGACTGCATCAACTTGATGGCGCTGAACACCATCACCTATGTTCACAGCATTATTCACAATAGCAAGAAAATGGATAAAGCCCAAATGTCCATCTACAAACAAATGGATTGAGAAATTTGGGGGAGGCGGCGCAGGTGAGTGAAGCAATGGGAAAGATCCAATTTGGATCTTGTGGTTAGACAGATGAATGGTGTCTGATTTTATAAAACAACGTATATAAATGATCATATGAAACACAATGTGAATGAAGGAATGTGTGAGGCATAAAGTCAATGACTAAAACACAATGTATACAAATAACAGAATTTTTTTTTAAAAAAAGGAGAGATTAAAATGATATAGATCATATACTTTTATGTCTTAAAACCCACATGCAATATTTGGGAAAAACAATGAACTGATCATGAAGAGATGACTAAAAGCAAGTAAGGACATTTTTATTTGACATTCATAAGCTGGTAATAACAGACAACTGTTTGGGATAGTATTTTCTGATAAAGTCTTTTTCTAACACACACCTCATCTATCTTAGCTCCATTCTCACAGCCACTAGTCAGATTTATTTATAATGTATTTTTGGAAAACAAAGCTCTTGTCAGTAAGCAGCTCACTCGTAGGTAGTGACTCTCTGGAGAGCTTCTAATTGTAGGTAACTTAAAAGTCGTCATGTGTCCTCCTCTTTAGAACCTGCTACAGTACCTGAAAAAACAGTTCACTGGAATATTGTAACCCTGTTAATTCTAGAAAACCCATGAAGGCTAAAGATTTTCCCTTTTGTAACCTATGTACTAAGAACTGAATTGTAATATGCAAATATTTTCATAAATTAGCTTTGCCCTTCTGAAAACTCAAATAGCTGTATAGTTTCTCTTCTATTAGGTATTCAGTAAATACTTGAATGAATGACTAGGAAATAAAGTAGTAAATTATGTGTCAGCAATTGTGTAGAGAGTGAGTAGACCCATCCAGCTGTATCGTTAAGCTTTTTAAGGTTCCGTTTTCAAAATAATTGAGGTATGGTTGTTGTTGTTGTGTATGTCCTCAAGTCGACTAAGAACAGTAACAACCCAATGAACAATAGGTCTGAAACCTTGCCCTGTGCCATCCTCACCATCTTCAGCATACTTGAGCCTTCTGTTACAGTCACTATGTCAATCCACACTGAGGAGGGTCTCACACTACTACATCAACCTTTCCAAGCAATATATGTCCTTTTCCAAGGACTGGTTCTTCCTAACAACCTCCTTGTTTCCAAAAAGCACCCTGGTTGCACATTCTGCAAGAAAGATTTGTCTGTTCTTTTGGCCATACATGTGATATTTAGTACTTTTCTCCAGCATTACAACTTCTGTCATCTTTAGTCACTGTCCAGCTCTTAGATGCACAGCAAGTGAATGAAAAGACTATGATTTAAATCAGGTACAATCATTTTAGTCTTTAAGCTGAAGTATTTAAAATCTCAACAAAGTAAATCACCAGTTTTGCAATAACAGTATAAATAAAAGTGGAATGTTATTTCATTTAAAATGTGCAGTATGCAAAATGTTCTGTAATGGTAAGGAAATAAGAAAATCACACCAAGGTAAATTTCCAGAGTCTTCTGGTAACTGGCATTTCTGGATCAGAAACTGACATTATAAATCCTTTTATTAAATGTTTATTTTTTTGTTTGTTTCCAGCATTACAACTTGCGTCACTCATAACTTCAATCTAAGTTTTCAGACATAAACTTCACACAGTATTTAGGCCCTCCTGTCAAACACGCATTTACCCAGTAAAGCTATCATCCAGCCACCAACCTGTGTGAACAGTGCTCACTGCTAGCAGAACATTTCAAAGTGTGTAT